GTAAGTAACGCACTTACTCTTACTACCAACCATACAGGTAACGCACTTACTCTTACTACCAACCATACAGATAACGCACTTACTCTTAGTACCAACCATACGGGCAAGTAACGCACTCACTCTTAGTACCAACCATACAGTTAATGAACGCTCTTATTCTTAGTACCAACCATACGGGTACGTAACGCACTTATTGTTATTACCAACCATACAAGTAAGTAGCGCTCTTACTCTTAGTACCAACCATACGGTTATGTAACACATTCACTTTTAGTACCTACCATACGGGCAAGTAACACACTTACTCTTAGTACCAACCATACGAGTAAATTACACTCTAACTCTTAGTACCAACCATACGGGCAAGTAACGCACTTTCCTTTAGTATCAACCATACGGGTACATAACGATCTAACTCATAGTACCAACCATACGGGCAAGTAGTGCACTTATCTTTAGTACCGACCCTAGGGTAAATAACGCACTTATTCTTAGTACCGACCATACGGGTATGTAGCGCACATACTCATACAACCAACACATACGGGCAAGTAGCGCACTTACTCTTACTACCAACCATATAGGTAACGCACTTTACTCTTAGTACCAACCATACGGGTACGTAACGCACTTACTCTTAGTATTGGCCATACAGTTAAGTAACTCTCTTACTCTTATGACCAACCATACTGGTACGTAACGCACATACTCTTAGTACTAACCAAATGAATACGTAAAGCACTTACTCCTAGTACCAACCATACGGGTAAGTAATGCACTTACTCTTAGTACCAACCATACGGGTAAGTAACGCATTTACTTTTAGTACCAACCATACAGGTAAATAACGCACTTACTCTTACTACCAACCATACAGGTAAGTAACACACATACTCTTAGTACCAACCAAACGGGTATATAACGCTCTTATTGTTAGTACCAACGATACGGGTAAGTAATACACTAATTTTCTGTACCAACCATACAGGTAAATACCGCTCTTACTCTTAGTACCAACCATACGAGCAGGTAACGCATTTACATTTAGTACCAACCATAGGGGTATGTAACGCACTTACTTTTAGAACCGACCATACGGGTAAGTAACGCACTTACTCTTAGTACCAAGATACTGGTAAATAATGTACTCTTAGTACCGACCATACAGGCAAGTTACACACTTACTCTTAATACCAACACATACGGGTAAGTAACGCACTTACTCTTACTACCAACCATACCGGTAACGCACTTACTCTTAGTACCAACCATGAGGGCAAGTAACCACTTACTCTTAGTACCAACCATACAGTTAAGTAACGCTTTTCATCTTAGTACCAACCATATGAGTTAGTAACGCACTTACTTTTAGTACCAACCATACAGGTAAATAACGCTCTTACTCTTAGTACCAACCATACCGGCAGATAACGCACGTACATTTAGTACCAACCATACGGATATGTAACGCACTTACTTTTAGTACCTATCATACGGGCAAGTAAAGCACTTACCCTTAGTACCAACCACACGAGTAAATAAAGAACTTACTCTTAGTACCAACCATACCGGGAAATTACGCTCTAACTCTTAATAACGATACATACGGGTAAATAATGTACTCTTAGTACCAACGATACACGCAAGTAAAACACTTACTCTAAATACCAACACATATGGGTAAGTAACGCACTTACTCTTACTACTAACCATACAGGTAACGCAATTACTCTTAGTACCAACGATACGGGTAAATAACGCACTTACTCTTAGTACCAACCATACAGTCATGTAACGCTTTTCATCTTAGTACCAACCATACGGGTACGTAACGCACATACTGTTAATACCAACCATACGAGTAAGTAACGCTCTTACTCATAGTACCAAGCAGGCAGATAACGCACTTACCTTTAGTACCAACCATACGGTTATGTTACGTACTTACTTTTAGTACCTACCATACGGGCAAGTAAAGCACTTACCTTTAGTACCAACCACACAAGTAAATAACGAACTTACTCTTAGTACCAACCATACGGGTAAATTACGCTCTAATTCTTAATACCAACACATACGGGTAAATAATGTACTCTTAGTACCAACGATACAGGCAAGTAAAACACTTTCTGTTAATACCAACACATATGGGTAAGTAACGCACTTACTCTTACTACGAACCATACAGGTAACGCACTTACTCTTATTACTAACCATACAGGTAACGCACTTACTCTTTGTACCAACCATATGGGTAATGAACGCACTTACTCTTAGTACCAACCATACGAGTAAGTAACGCTCTTACTCTAAGTACCAAACAGGCAGATAACGCACTTACCTTTAGTACCAACCATACGGTTATGTTACGTACTTACTTTTAGTACCTACAATACAGGCAAGTAATGCACTTACCCATAGTACCAACCACACAAGTAAATAACGAACTTACTCGTAGTACCAACCATACGGGTAAATTACGTTCTAACTCTTACTACCAACCATACATGCTAGTAATTCACTTACTCTTAGTACCAGCCATACGGGTACGTAACGCACTTAGTGTTAGTACCAACCATACGCGTAAGTAACGCACTTACTCTTAGTCCCAACCATACGGGTTCATAACGTACTTACTCTTAATACGAACCATACGGGCAAGTAACGCACTTACCTTTAGTACCAAATATACGGGTATGTAACGCACTTATTTTGAGTACCAATGATACGGATAAGTAGCGTACTTACTCTTAGTACCAACTATGTGGGTAAGTAACACACTTACTCTGAAGACCAACCATACGGGTAAGTAGCGTAGTTACGCGTAGTACCAACTTTACGGATAACTAACGCACTTATTCTAAAACCAACTATATAAAACAGTAACACACATGCTCTTAGTACCAACCATACGGGCAAGTAATGCACTTACAATTACTACCAACCATATCGCTAAGTAACGCACCTACTCGTAGTACCAACCATACAGGTAAGAAACGCACTTACTTTTTGTACCAACCATACGGAAAAGTAACGCATTTACTCTTAGTACCAACCATACAGTCAAGTAACGCACTTACACTTAGAACCAACCATACAGGTACGTAACGCACTTACGTTTAGTACCAACCATACCGGTAAGTAACGCACTTACTCTTAGTACCAACTATATAGGTAAGTAACGCACTTACTCTTAGCACCAACAATACGGAAAATAACTCACTTACTCTTAGTACCAATCATACGGGCAAGTAACGCACTTACCCTAAGTACCAACCGTACGGGTATATAACGCCCTAACTTATAGTACCAACCATACGGGTAAGTATCGCACTTAATTTAGTACCAACCATATGGGTAAATAACGCACTTACTCTTACTACCAACTATACAGGTAAGTAACGCATATACTCTTAGTACCAGCCATACGGGTACGTAATGCACATACTGCTAGTACCAACTATATGCGTAAGTAACGCACTTACTTTTAGTACGATCCTTACGGGTACGTAGCGCACTTAGTTGTAGTACCAACCATATGGGTAAGTAACCTACTTACCTTTAGTACCAACTATACGGGGACGTAACGCACTTAATTTTACTACCGACCATACGGGTACGTAACGCACTTACTCGTAGTACCAACCATACGGGTAAGTAGCGCACCTACTCTTAATACCCACCATACAGGTACGTAACGCACATACTGTTAGTACCCACCATACGGTAAGTAACGCACATACTTATAGTACAAACCATACAGGTAAATAATGCTCTTACTCTTAGTACCAACCATACGGGCAAGTAGCGCACTTATCTTTAGTTCCAACCATACGGGTATGTAACGCACTTACTTTTAGTACCGACCATACGGGTAAATAACGCTCTTACTCTTAGTACCAACCATACGGGTACGTAACGGTCATACTCTTAGTACCGATCATACGGGTATGTAGCGCGCACTTACTCTTAATACCAACACACACGGGTAAGTAACGCACTTACTCTGACTACCAACCATATAGGTAACGCACTTACTCTTAGTACTAACCATACGGGTACGCAACGCACTTACTCCTAGTACCAACCATACTGTTAAGTAACGCTCTTACTCTTAGTACCAACCATACGGGTACGTAACGCACTTACTCTTAGTACCAAGCATACGGGTAAGTAGCGCACTTACTTTTAGTACAAACCATACGGGCAAGTAACACACTTACCTTTAGTACCAAGCATATAGGTAAGTAACGCACTTACTCTTACTACCAACCATACAGGTAAGTAACGCACTTACTCATAGTACCAACCATACGGGTAAGTAGCGCACCTACTTTTTAGTACTAACCACACAGGCAGGTAATGCACTTACTCTTACTACCGACCATATCGGTAAGTAACGCTCGTACTCTTAGTACCAACCATACGGGTATGCAACGCACTTACTGGTTGTACCAACCATACGGGTAAATAAAGCTCTTACTCTTAGTACCAATGATACGGGCAGGTAACGCACTTACCTTTAGTACCAACCATACGGGTATGTAACGCACTTACTTTTAGTACCGACAATACGGGCGTGGAACTCTTCGATTTTGCATGGTGCGTACCACAGCACCGTTCGGAACTTGGTGTGGTGACAGGTTTCGCTGGTTTTCGCAATAGGTCTCGCCAGGGTTCCTGCGACGTCGGCATCGTGCGGAACCCACGTGGAACATTTGGGACAGGCTTTCCCGTACTGACAGGATGAACGGTCGGAATTGCCCCGTTCGGAACACAGGGGTACAGTGACCGCGCGACTGACAGCATGCTACATCGCACAGTTTCTGGCGATATTGCAAAATTCCCCCCATTTTGACCAAATGTTCAAAATCTCGCAGCGCTACGCGCCCCGGTAACCAAACGAACCGAACCATTCCAACACCATTTCACTTGCAACACTTGAATACAAATGCATCGTCCCCAAAGTCCACTCATTCCCATCCCGCAATCGTAGCACAATGGACCCGTCTAGCGTAGCAGACAACACCCTGCCTAGTGATGACCCTTCTCAGCCCACCGACGCCCCCTCTGCTGATGCTGTCACCACGATCACGCCCGAACTAGAGACGCAGGAATCCGCAGTTGCTCCAGCTACCAATGCCCCAAACACCGCTGGGCCAAGTCTGGCGGACGATCCGAACTGGTGGGGAAACCACCTGCCGGCATCAACAGCGCCATACAACAGCGACGAGGAGCACGGTGTGTTCAGCGATGATAACGCCAAAATTGAGCAGCCCTCTGTGGACGACGATCCAGCTCCGACAGAGAGCACACCGGCTCCGTCTGCCACAACGCAGACTACTCGCCGTACGGGGGCGTCATCCACTCCTCGCTGGACTCGCGATGAGGAGTGGGAACTGGCGCTGGTCCGGACTGAACTCAATGCCCGGCTTATGGCCAATGCTGGCCAGCAGGGGCGTGGTTGGTACGCGACATTGCACGAGGAGCTGCTGCATTGCCATCCCGACTGGCGCCACGACCCGCCATCGATCAAGTCCAAGCTGCACCGGATGCGCGACACCTACCGCCGCTGGGTCGAGAGGTCTAATCGCAGTGGCGCATCACGTCCCCGCAGCATTCCCCCATGGTACGAGCTTGCCGAGCAGATTGGGGCAACCGCCCGTCGGCAAGGCCCACGGTGTTGACAGGTAGCACCGTTCCAGGGTCTACCGGCAACACCGTCAACCAGCCTACCCCGAGCACGTCTACTGCACCGCCACCTGCTGTCGCGCCACCTACGGCCCCTATGGTCGCGCCACCGCCTGCCCCCATTGTCGCACCACCTCCTGCCCCTACGCCTACGCCTCCAGCCCCTTCTCCAACGCCCCCGGCTCCCACTGTTGTTGAGGCGCCAGCGCCTCCTCCTGTGATTGCTGCGCCGCCCAGCGGCGTTACCTCTCCGGTCATGGCTCCACGCAACAACGGAACCCTGCTCTCCCCCGATTCGATCCCCACTGGCGGTGATCCAGGCCCTTCTAGGGGTAATACCGCCTCAGAGGGTACCCGTTTGACGACGGGCCTGTCCATGCGCGGGCGTCAACCCACTTGGGGACCGAGCCCTACGTCTGACGGTGGGGAGGGTTGTTCCACCGCTGTGAGTTCTGGAAACGGAAAGGTAGGCAGCGGGAAGCGGGGGCGGGACAAGAAGGGGAAGGGGAAATGTGATGACGCTGAAACCAAGAAGCTGGCCGCGGTCGCCAAAATGATAACCAAGGACTTCGATGACAAACAAGACAAGAATTGGGACCAATTCATGGAAGTTACCCGGGAGCTCGCGCGTTCATTTGTTGTCGCGCAACGAGCCGCGGGGCGTAGAGGCCCTCCGTCAGTCTCGTCCTCCGAAGATGAGGACTGAAGCCCGGCACTTCACTGCCGGTATGTGTTGCTCGCGCTGCAGGTCCGTGCAACCACCACCTCTCAACTAGCTCCTCGGGGCCGAGGCGCACTCGTTCGCCGATCGTAAGGTCGATATTGTGTAGCACCACGACCGCGCCGATGGTGTCAGTCACATTAGTAATATTCTCCACTTCCCTTTGATCCGGCCGTTGACTTGGTCAACAATCATTCGCATGCATGACTGAAGATAATTCCAGTTGTCTTGATCGTATGGCAGGTTCCTGCTCTGAGTCGCGCGGTATGGCACAAAGGTGTACGGCTGAAGGCCGTAGGCAGCATCGGAAGCTAGGCAATAGTTAGATAGTTCTCCTGCTTCTATCCTCTCTCGTGCGGGCGAGTTCCAGAACACTCGGGCGTCGTTGACGGACCCGGGCCACCCTGCTAGGTAGTTCCAGATGTTGCCGTTTGAGTCGCAGATTAATTGTAGTATGACGCTGAAAAATCCCTTTCTGTTTTTGAAATCGTCTTTATGCCTGCCCCATCCCCTGCACCGTATGTACATGCCGTCCAAAGCACCCACCACACCCGGTATTCCGCCCTCATACCGGAAATCGTCTTCCATCTCCGCCATGCGTTCCCGTGTTGGCCAGACAACCCACAATGGGTCCATGATATCTACTAGCCATCGAATTATACCCCATACTATCCGGCGCGCGTGGATATGGCTGACTCCAAAGTTCAAACCGACCGCGCGGAACGTGGCACCAGTCCCAAGATATACTAGCGTTAGAGCAATAGCAGTTTCTACTGACACGGCTCTCCTACCGCTGCTATTGTACATAACATAAGCGTCTACTAAATACTCAAAAACTGCTCGATCAACTCTGAGACACTTTATAAATCTGGTTGGATTGAGGTTAATGATCAGCGCCTCCCATCTAATGCGTTGGCTACGTCTGTCATTTCGCCAGAAGTCCCGCTCTCCTCTCTGTGCAGCGAGCTGAGCTAGGTGTGGAAGTGCTGCTGCTAGTAGGATGTAGTAGGGGCACACAAAAAGCTGCTGGTATGCTCTGTACAGCCAAGCGATGAACGATAGAAATTGAGGAAGGGACATCGTGCGAACTGACTGATTCATTGGGCTCAATGCAATTGTACTTTCCCGAACGACCCTCAACTGGCGGAACCCCACTTGGGTTTCTGCAGGTTGTCTGGTCGCATGCTAGTGTTCCTATTGGTGGTTGTTTGTATGCGATTTTGAGATTTTGCCAGGTGCGACGGTACGAGAATGCACAGTGACGTTTGAAAATGGAAATTCAAAAACTGCGTCAAATGTTTCAACATCCCAACCGGACGAGGCTGGGTCCGAACCACCGTCCGGTTGGGCCCAAACCGGTGGACAGTGCGGAACTGAGGGGCCTCGTACGGAACTCTCGCCAAAATTTTGAAATGTTCCACGCCCTTAGCACCAACCATACGGCGCACTTACTCTTAGTACCAACCATACGGGCAAGTAGCGCACCTACTTATAGTACCAACTATATAGGTAAGGGCGGAGTGCATCAAGGTTTTCTGGCACGATCGCCTCTAATCGCAATGCTAGCACTGCAATCGTAGGGTTTTGGGTTGGGTTGGGCGTACTCGGGGGAGTATTCGATTTAACGGCACCCCTCCTTGATGCACCACCTGCAGCCTCGATCCCCAACCACCAATGAGATACGGTCAAGGAGTCGCATCTACAGTGAGCAGTCGCAGTTGATTTGGTAATAGCTTCGTTTTGCACTCGCCGCTATTTCGTTTCGTCTTTGGGCGATAGAAACATTATCGCCAACAATGATCGGTGTGCATGCGGTGCACCTACTACGCCTGATCGCGGCTGATCGCAGGCTGTGGGATCTAGCCTGATCGAAGTGTTGACCAATATTGGGATCTACAAGCTACTAAGCACACCTTTAATTCACACTTAACAGTCTCCACGGGGTCACCTCCAAGGGTCCTTGGGTGCCTGGCAAGGCCAGCCCCTATCCAAGGGTCCGTGTTATGTCGAGGGATACGCCAAGTATGAAAACAATCGTGTGCAACAGAGCATTCCCAAAACTCCTTGCGCAGCGTTATGACGAATTGGCTCGTGTGCAGAAAATTCTCTTCACGTCAATACTATGATAGAGAAAAACTTCACTCAAATGATTGATTACAACTGAACACAAGCACGCATTTATATTTCGCCTAGCACACAAGCACAAGAAAGCACAGAGCAGTTGTTTAACTATACTTCAGGACTTCGCCAGATGCGCCAAGGAAAACGGTTGTCGAACTGCTTCGGAATTTGGCTTGGTTCTCCCCTGTAGAATAACTGTCTTCAAATTTCATGTCTGCCAAATTCCCCTGCTGACTCCCCTCGTGAACGTTCGCGACTTCTCGTGCGCAATCATAAACACTCGTGTGAGATTACCGTTTTCACGAAGTCTCACACAGTTGAAAAACGGTTTTCACCGTTTTTCTCCTGTATCGAAATTGTCCCTTTACGCGCGCGACGTTTCCGGCGAAGTTACTTGTACGCCGAGTCAACGCGGGATTCGGTTTTTCAACCGTAATCCCGAGCTCCCCCCTTGACCGCAATCATGCGCTGTCCTGCGCGTGGGCAGGGCGATCATTCGCCCTGTCCTGTTGCGATCGTGGGCCCTGCCACGCTCGCAACAGTGCGAGGGCACACGCGCGGGCCTGAGGGCCCACACTCACGATCAGGACCCCACGCGCGGGTCCTGACTTTCTCGCGCAGTTGACTTTGACTGACGCGAAATTATCTCGCGAACACTCGCGACTCTTCACGAACACAAACGAAAACAGAGAAACAGAAACAAACATGAACGCTCACAAACACTCATGAACACATTGGAGCACTTCACATGAATTCACGAACACAGAAATTCACGAGCATAAAATCAACGCACACTCATGACAACTCGCGAAACAACGTAAACGCATACGAAACCTTGCAATCACTCATGGACTTTCACGAACACTCAGGAACGCAACCTTTCACCGAAACACACATAACTCATGAACCGTCGAGGCGATTCAAGAGCCGTAAACACTCAAACGTAAAGCACGAAAATGCGCAACTCACACACAACAAAGTACCTTCAGAACAAACACCTCACTTTCACTCGACGTCGGCGAATAGGTGGTAGGTTGTCGTGCAAACCATGTATTGCACTCAACACGAAGGTTGTTTGGTAGGTTGGTGACCACCTTTTCGAGACCCTCTGGGGTCGCGGTGCAGAAAGGTGTACAGTAATCACTGTACACATAGGACAAAACACAATAGCAAGGATCGCTTGGAATCGTGATCACGCAAAACAGCTTGATGCACCCCGCCCTAAGTAACACACTTACTCTTACTACCAACCATATAGATAAGTAACGCACTTATTCTGAGTACCAACCATACGAGTAAGTAGCGCACTTACTCTTAGTCCCAGCCATACCGGTAAGTGGCGCACTTACTCTTAGTACCAAACTACGGGTAAATAACGCACTTACTGTTAGCACCAACCATACGGGCAAGCAACGCACTTACTTGTAGTACCAACCGTATGGTTAAATAACGATCTAACCTAGTACCAACTATACGGGCAAGTAACGCACTTACCTTTAGAACCAACCATATAGGTAAGTAACGCACTTACCTTTAGAACCAACCATATAGGTTAGTAACGCACTTACTCTTACTACAAACCATACAGATAAGTAACGCAGTAACTCTTAGTACCAACCAGACGGGCAAGTAACGCACTTACTCTTAGTACCAGCCAACGCACTTACTCTTACTACCAACCATACATGAAGGTAATGCACTTACTCTTATTACAAACCATACAGGTAAGTAACGCATTAACTCTTAGTACCAACCATATGGGTACGTAACGCACTTACTCTTAGTACCAAGCATACGGGTAAATAACGCTCTTACTCTTAGTACCAACCATACAGGCAGGTAGCGCACTTACCATTGGTACCAACCATACGGGTATGTAACGCACTTACTTTTGATATTGACCATATAAATAACGCACTTACTCTTAGTACCAACCATACGGGTAAATATCGCAGTTACCTTTAGTACCAACCATACAGGCAAGTAACGCACTTACTCTTAGTGCCAACAATACGAGTAAGTAATGCACTTACTCTTACTCCCATACAGGTATATAACGCTCTTACTGTAAGTACCAACCATACGGGCAAGTAACGCACTTACTCTTAGTACCAACCATACGGGTACGTAACGCACTTACTTTTAGTACCAACCATGCAGGTAAGAAACGCATTTACATTTAGTACCAACCATATAGGCAAGTAACGCACAACATACCGGTAAGCACTTACACTTAGTACCAACCATATAGGCAAGTAACGCTCTTAGTTTAAGTACCAACCATACGGGTACGTAACGCTCTTACTTTTAGTACCAACCAAATGGGTACGTAAAGCACTTACTCTTAGTACCAACC